CAGATACCCTTCACCCAGTTAGTCTTGTTTCAGATACCCTTCTCCCAGTTAGTCCTGTGTCAGATACCCTTCACCCAGTTAGTCTTGTTTCAGATACCCTTCTCCCAGTTAGTCTTGTGTCAGCCACCCTTCACCCAGTTAGTCTTGTGTCAGCTACCCTTCACCCAGTTAGTCTTGTTTCAGATACCCTTCTCCCAGTTAGTCTTGTGTCAGCCACCCTTCACCCAGTTAGTCTTGTGTCAGCTATCCTTCTCCCAGTTAGTCTTGTTTCAGATACCCTTCTCCCAGTTAGTCTTGTGTCAGCCACCCTTCACCCAGTTAGTCTTGTGTCAGCTATCCTTCTCCCAGTTAGTCTTGTGTCAGCTATCCTTCTCCCAGTTAGTCTTGTGTCAGCCACCCTTCACCCAGTTAGTCTTGTGTCAGCTATCCTTCTCCCAGTTAGTCTTGTGTCAGCTATCCTTCTCCCAGTTAGTCTTGTGTCAGCTATCCTTCACCCAGTTAGTCTTGTGTCAGCTATCCTTCTGCCAGTTAGTCCTGTGTCAGCTACCCTTCTCCCAGTTAGTGTTGTGTCAGCTATCCTTCTCCCAGTTAGTCTTGTGTCAGCTATCCTTCCCCCAGTTAGCCTCGTGTCAGCTACCCTTCCGACAGTTAGTCCTGCTCTGAGGTAAATTGTGACAAAGATGCAATGACATAATGACAATTCCGACACGAAGAACAGAAACCAAACCGTTTTAAACAATAACACGGGAATCGAACCCGGGTGTTCCGCGTAACGATTGAAAGCTTTTAACCATAGAAGGCTCATCGCCAGTAATTACCTATAGTGAGTGAGCAAGTGTGGTTTTACGTCGCAGATGGGTTTCAAGCACTTTACAACTGTTGGGATTCGGACCCGGGTCTTTGGCGTGACGCGTGAACGCTGTAGACACTTGTCTACCCTGCCAGTCTTTAATGCCTATAAACACATGCTTGCGTTACATTGTGAGTCACTATCACAGCCCCAACCTTTGTGCGCGGACAGGGTTGGGACAGTACGCTATCACACGTCCTAAACGGGCATTACAGACACAAAGGCCTGCTAGACAGGGATTAGAGTGTGAAAAGGTTGGAATGGAACCATGAATTGCAATGACAAAACAACTCTTCCTTATATTCAATACACAATCCTAATCCGCATTTAATGCCCGATAATCCTACTTTTTCGACACACCGGATTACATTGGAGTCGCAATGGCGGTGTAGGTAACCAAAATGAGCTTGTGAGTGAGTTTAGTTTTACGCCGCTTTTAGCAATATTCCTGCAATATCACGGCGGGGGACACCGGAAATATATAAACAACAGATGAGCCTGTGCGAGGAGAATCACAGGTCACAGGATCTTGATCTGGCTTTGAAGATGGCCGTCACACCGGCCTTATTGGAAATGTACTTTTTATCCACTATACAACCAATACTGCATGTATTATTATGAAATGTGACTCAGTGAAGACTTGGAATAAAGAATATCGTATGATGTTTTTGCTGTTCATTTGCACCGTTCCGATCTCGGAGTTTCACTTACTCCTATTTTTCTACATGTACTCTATTTCTTTATTTCGGCATCTTCTCTGAAACCTCTTGGATTTTGAAACTGAAGTTTTTGTACATATGATTCCGGCAATAGCGTCCCAAAACTGATCAATATCTTCTGATCTAAGCGCGGTGGAGTAGTCTAATGGATAAAGAATCCGCTCGTCACGCCGAAGACCCGGGTTCGATTCCCGACATGGGTACAACGTGTGAAGCCCATTTCTGGTGTCCTGGGCCTCCTTTCACAAAGCCCTTAGGTGATCGTAAGTCACTAAGGTAACCTTAGTACAGTGTTAAAGAATGGGAGTTAAGGTTAACCTTGGTAAAGGTTGCTTCGTTAAAGGATCCCCAGGAATATTGCTTAAAGCGGCGTAAAAGTTGACTCACTCTCTGTTCAGATACAGGATTAAACAAGGCCGCGCGGGGTGACAGCCATATTGATCATGTTAATTTACTGTGCAATTGCTTCTCTTATTGCGAAATATTTATGTTTTATCATATCAAAATGCATTTATTTATAATTTCATGGTTTATAACCATCAAATGCACACACTTCAGCCCTTCCAGTTGTGCCAATAGCCCATATAGAGCCAGTCTAGATTTTCAGCCGGCTCAGAATCTCCCATCTCGCTGGTGCTGCTTTTCAATGTAAATAAAGATATTTGTTTATATTGTTATGTAACGGTATTATCCCCTGTAATAGGTTGACAGTGTTGTGATTGTACTATACAGTTTCTGTTAGATTCTGTAGAGAGCAGCGGTGTGCCAGTCGCAGTATTTAGACTGTTCTGGATCAGCCGGGATAATCCAGCCTAGAAACAGACTTCTGGGAGCTTTTCAAATAAACATATTGGCACGCGCTTGCCTCTGTCATCTCACATTAAGTCACAACCAACAGTCTGTGAAGATCATTATCTTCACCCTGTCTATCAAGCCTTACCCTTGCTCCAAGGCTGTATTGAATGCTGAGCCCATGCATGTATAATAATTCTATCCTTCGAAGAGGCAAATTATATGATTTATATATAGCGCACATATCCGGGCAACTAGTGCTTGCTCAATGCGCTGGTATTTTTTTCCCTCGATCATTGGATGTCGGTCCCAACGGCACATCGTGTTATCAATCTCAACTCCCTGGGGAGCATACAACTCTTGCAGCCACTAGGCGCACCGAGTTATTGTGGACTTCTCATCTTAACGAGGTTATTAAATCCTGATATAATAAACGGACCCCAGTCTTTTATTTATCATTTTAAAGAAATTATCATTTAAACTGTTAATTTTTACCTTACAGACTTGTGCAAGTCTAATCAAGCTTCTGAATGCCTGTTTTGGAAGCTTGGCCGCTGTTGCTGTTTGGTCACTGGCTTTGCAAGACATGACAAACGGGGTCTCATGGTCAGGATGGCTGACTTGGTTGATGCATGTTATCGTATTACATCATACTGCATGGAGCAGTGTTGAGGGCGGAAACAAGGTACAGACCCGTGCCAGTTATATTCGGACCCTTGACGTCATTTCCATAGACTTACATGTTATTTCAGTGTAGCATAAATAATGTTCATGAGGTGAGTTCAGGATAGATCTTTGTAAAATTTGACAGGCAAATTTGAAATCATCTCTGCTCTGCGCACCTTATTTCAGTTCAATTTTCCGACCACTATAAATCTAATGACATCACACTCATCAACCTACGTATGGTTCCACAATACACAATCCCATAGGCCGCCATGTTAAAGGAGTTCACGGCACTGTACATGTTGATTACATTGTTGCCACTCGATAAATAAGCAACGGAAAATTAAACAGAAATTATGTGATTGTAGGTAAGATGATTCCTCACAAATGTGCAAAATATGACTTGGATCATACGAAAATTAAATTAATGAAAATTATTAATGCTACACTAAATTAACATGTAAGTCTACGGAAGTTACGTCAAGTGTCTGAATATAACTGGCACTGGTCTGAAATTAATTTTGATACAGTCCTGAGGCCAATCCAGTCCCGCAGTATATAACTGAAATATACCAAAGTATAATTTCACGATATAATTGCTAAGACTGACAACTACACGAGTTAAGTATTTCATGTAAAATCATTGTGTCGGAGGGGTGGTGGGTTAGCCTAATGGTAAAAGCGCCCGCTGGTCACGCTGAAGGCTCGGGTTCGATTTAACCAACCTGTTTCTTTGGTGAACATTCTACATTTGTTTTATCCAAAGTGGAGAATGCAGTGAGATCCAGTCCCCCATGAGTAAAATGTGTGAAGCCCATTTCTGGTGTCCCCCGCCGTGATATTGCTGGAAAATTGCTAAAAGCGGCCTAAAACTAAACCCACTCACTATGTCGGAGTCCCGAACTTCATCTGGGTATCTCTCACAATACAACTCAGATTTTTTTCCGGGTGTCAAAGTATCGATTACATACATTAGTTTCTTCACAGGCTTTACTGCCGTGCCAATCATTCATCGCCACGAGAGTTAGTGAGTGAGTGAGTGAGTGAGTGAGTGAGTGAGTGAGTGAGTGAGTGAGTGAGTGAGTGAGTGAGTGAGTGAGTGAGTGAGTGAGTGAGTGAGTGAGTGAGTGAGTGAGTGAGTGAGTGAGTGAGTGAGTGTTACGCCGCACTCAGAAATATTCCGGCTTTATGGCGGCGGTCTGTAAATAATCGAGTCTGGACAAGACAATCCAGTGATCAACAGCATGAGCATCTATCTGCGCAAATGGGAACCGATGACGTGTGTCAACCAAGCCAACGAGCCTTACCACCAGATCCCATTAGTCGCCTCTTACGACAAGCATGAGTTTCTGAAGACCAATTCTCACCCGGATCTTCACGGGTATCGCCACGATGGAACAATCTTGGTTCTTTTATTTCTGAAACACCAAAAGCCCATATACAACTTACCTATAATGTGTCTTTAAATTTTGAAATTACACTCAAACCAGCAAACCCAGCCTATTACCAAGTTTCTTGGGTCCTAAACTAAAAGCGAACCTCTTCCAAATCACGGTAATTGCCGTCACTATTGTTAGCTGCTAATTATGTTCGCGTGCCGACATTGTATTTTGTCTTTACATAGTCCTCTCTAACCCCCGAGATACAATCTCTCGGGGAACACGATAACCCTCCTCGACAATCATTCGTTCCCTACCCCCTAAGGCTGTCCACACGTTGACAGGTGCGTGTGTTTATTTGCTTTACTAATGTACGAATCAATTCAACAGCGGCTGAAGGGCCCAATCCAAGCCAACATTTCTTACAAATTAATCGAGTAGCTTTTAAAACGGCATGTGTGGAAAACAGCTTGACCGCTTGCCGAGATATCACCGCGCCGCCATTTGTAAACAATTGCTGACACCATGGTGACACGAGATTAGACGGTACGTCACGTGACTCGAATGCACTGCCGATCGGTCTGATAGCCAAACACCCGAAGAGGTTAATACCGGGCTTGCATTCAAGTGATATTACCAGCTATAGCTTGTCGTGGAAGTCTCGATTGGATATTACTGGTGTAGTGGACTGGGGCAGTGAAAACGGTTCCCTTTGTGAGAAGTGAATGACAGCACTGACGCTATTCTCTGAAAAGGTGAGATAGTTTAAAGTCATTATTAACTTGGTAAGCGTGTTATTAAACAAACGGATAACATCCGTGAGTGAACACCAGGCTGATTGTGCGGTATTTCTGATGCACATGACAATAAAATGGGTTTTAAATATGTTCAACACACCCCATACATCTCTGCTCGGCTGTAGTTCAGTTCAGACCCGCGATCCGGGAACAATTTGGGGCGTGATCGGGCAAAGGAAAACCATTTAATCTTGTACTTCCATGAAGATGACACAACTATATTTGCCCTTGTGAAATGTACTGGCACGTTTTACTCAGGCATTAGTATAGAATAAAGTCGCACGTGTGATGTTCTAAACTCATTCATGGATTTGCATGTGGATATGCATATATTAAGTATTAATGGCCAACTCGACGGCACCCCTCCCCCCTTTCTTCACCCCCCCTTTAAACTATCTTCCACCTCCTACAAGTACACACAGTGCAATGTAAATTAACAGCTGTATGTATATATGTATGCATGTATGTATGTATGTATGTATGTATGTATGTATGTATGTATGTATGTATGTATGTATGTGTATGTATGTATGTATGTATGTATGTATGTATGTATGTATGTATGTGTGTGTATGTATGTATGTGTGTATGTATGTGTGTGTTTGTGTGTATGTATGTATGTATATATGTCTGTCTGTATGTGTGTGTGTGTGTATGTCTGTCTGTATGTATGTCTGTCTGTATGTATCGTTTTCTGCTTACAAGTAATAAGTATTTGTTCCCTAGATGTTAATTACCTGTTTAATTACATCAAACTATATATATATAATTAATTTACATTATATTCTACTTGTTTGTATTATAACCCCGTGTTATTGGTATTATATTCTGTACGTGTATATATGGCCAATGATTAATCACCGCTTTCTAGTAGTAACAGTTGTTTAAGTTCGTATCCAGTATTGTCTTTTACGACGAAACCTAATCGTTTTTAAACACTTGCTTGATAACGGTGTTAGCATATACACCGACACGTCGCATCTATTGTAAGGAAGAAGTTGTATGTATATAGAACTATATCCCTTGTTGATTACACCAACTTCTAAATGCCACTGAAACATACCCAGAGTCAAAGACAAAGCTCCATGTGGTATAGAGTTGACACCCAAATAATTATGTCCTATATATTGAATGAAATGACGCTCACAATGGTGAGGTGAGGTGAGGTGAAATGGGGTTTAACGTCGCACTTGTGAATATTTCGCTCATTTCACAAAGTGCATGCGTGTGTATGTGCAGCTGCTTGTACTAGCCCAGACTTAAGCTGGTTTTATAGTGCTAGCCCACTGAGATACCATGCCGCAGTAAAGCATGAATACCCCACTCAGACACATTATACTGACTCCGAGCCAACCAGTCCTTGTTGTACCCATTAATGCCGAGCGCCAGGCAAGGAACAACAAGTACCATATTTTAACGTCTTTTGGTATGACGCGGCCGGGCATCGAACCCGCTTACAATTAGAACAATACTGTTTGTCACAATATCAAAATAACGAAAGTCGAAGGTTTCAGAATAAATTTCACTACTTGCCAAAGTTGGTTACCAACAGTTATCTTTGTAATCTACGTGTCTACAGGGCATCAGCATCAAACACAGACCCTAAACATGAGAACCACAAGAAGCAAGCGCAAGAAGAATTAATTCAGATATGTCCAGTATTTAGGATAAACAACGTTTATTTTAACAACCACAGGATACTCAATGTCAAAGCGTTGTCATCATAACAAGATATTCCCGAAGAGACAAAATTAATTTCACACTGCTTTAAAATTTCAAAACGGTGTCCTTTTCAATAAATCAAATTTGCACCGTACAATCATGATCAAACTAATACTGTGTAACACTTTAACACGTAATGGAAATATGGTTCACCTGTTCGCGAATACAGAGCCATATAAGAATTAATATTGGTAAACCAACAAAGTTTCGCTAGCGACGTAACACTTTCACAAAGGTTGTGTAATTTTTTGCAGTTTTGTAAATGTTACATGGTATTTACACTTTTCTACCAAATCTAAACTCGTTTAGCAATGTCAGTTCTGACAAACATTCCACTCTTGTTAGTAACACTTGTTTATAAATCTGTTGAAGATCATGATCTAAATCAACCGTATGTCTTCGTTATGGAATTGAAATGTGAGCCCACATCGTCAAACAGCTTGTGGTTGCTCGATAACGCAGAGGATATTAGAGGAAGGGATCAGGGTCCCAATAAACAAAGCGTTCGTAACGTTACGACCTGTCGTAAGTCTATAGGTTATTGTAGCTTACGAATGTAAAAGAGATATACGAACGTTTTGTGGAATCATGACCCAAGACCATATATTCTCTCCTAGGACAATTGTAATGACGTAAGGAATGGCATGACGTCGCCTGCATAGCTGATGTCAATCATCTTCTGTCCACATCTTCTGTGATGCCAACACACCACTGATATAGTAAAAACATTGCAACGTATTCGCCATCGAGTGGCGGGACTGCCTGATTTCATGCTGAACGAGAGCGGCGGGACTGCCTGATTTAGTGCTGAACGAGAGCGGCGGGACTGCCTGATTTGGTGCTGAACGAGAGCGGCGGGACTGCCTGATTTGGTGCTGAACGAGAGCGGCTGGACTGCCTGATTTGGTGCTGAACGAGAGCGGCGGGACTGCCTGATTTGGTGCTGAACGAGAGTGGCGGGACTGCCTGATTTGGTGCTGAACGAGAGCGGCGGGACTGCCTGATTTGGTGCTGAACGAGAGCGGCGGGACTGCCTGATTTGGTGCTGAACGAGAGTGGCGGGACTGCCTGATTTGGTGCTGAACGAGAGTGGCGGGACTGCCTGATTTGGTGCTGAACGAGAGTGGCGGGACTGCCTGATTTGGTGCTGAACGAGAGAGGCGGGACTGCCTGATTTGGTGCTGCTGAACGAAGCGGCGGGACTGACTGATTTGACTGAACGAGTGGCTGAACGAGACGGCGGACTGACTGGAGAGGCGGGACTGCCTGATTTGGTGCTGATGGACTGATGGTGCTGAACGAAAGTGGCGGGACTGCCTGATTTGGTGCTGAACGAGAGAGGCGGGACTGCCTGATTTGGTGCTGAACGAGAGAGGCGGGACTGCCTGATTTGGTGCTGAACGAGAGCGGCGGGACTGCCTGATTTGGTGCTGAACGAGAGTAGCGGGACTGCCTGATTTGGTGCTGAACGAGAGCGGCGGGACTGCCTGATTTGGTGCTGAACGAGAGCGGCGGGACTGCCTGATTTGGTGCTGAACGAGAGCGGCGGGACTGCCTGATTTGGTGCTGAACGAGAGAGGCGGGACTGCCTGATTTGATGCTGAACGAGAGCGGCGGGACTGCCTGATTTGGTGCTGAACGAGAGTAGCGGGACTGCCTAATTTGATGCTGAACGAGAGCGGCGGGACTGACTGATTTGGTGCTGAACGAGAGCGGCGGGACAGCCTGATTTGGTGCTGAACGAGAGTGGCGGGACTGCCTGATTTGGTGCTGAACGAGAGCGGCGGGACTGCCTGATTTGGTGCTGAACGAGAGCGGCGGGACTGCCTGATTTGGTGCTGAACGAGAGTGGCGGGACTGCCTAATTTGATGCTGAACGAGAGCGGCGGGACTGACTAATTTGGTGCTGAACGAGAGCGGCGGGACTGCCTGATTTGGTGCTGAATGAGAGTGGCGGGACTGCCTGATTTGGTGCTGAACGAGAGCGGCGGGACTGCCTGATTTGGTGCTGAATGAGAGTGGCGGGACTGCCTGATTTGGTGCTGAACGAGAGTGGCGGGACTGCCTGATTTGGTGCTGAATGAGAGTGGCGGGACTGGCTGATTTGGTGCTGAACGAGTTGCAGCTTCCATGGCAGCAGTTCACAAGGAAACAGCTGAAGAAGAAGTGGGCTCCTTGACATCAACAGATGTTGGCTGTGTAACCTGCTCGGCTAGAGGATCACTTTTTGTTTTACCTGCAATCAAATAAGTAAATCAATCAAACTAAAAAAAATATGTAAGAAACTGACTGTGTTGTAATCTGTCAACACTGATTGGTGACAATACACATCCCGCCGACTCCTCGCCATGCGCCGGATTAGACAGCGCTAATTACTGTATTAACCCATATTCGGGCGGCTCATTTCATGCCGAGATCCGGAATTGACAGCTGCCAGATTGCAGAACTCTTAAAAGAAAAATGTACTAGCCACGGATGGGACTGAGATTTTATGCCGGTGTTGACAACTTGCCGGATTGGACAGCTGCCGGTTTTGACAACTGCCATGGTATACTTATTGCTGGTGTCACCTATTATGCCCTTCCGTACTTCAGTTATCTGAATGGGTTGGAAGAATGAATGAAATGTTTCTCTTGAAAGCAATCCTGGACACGCTTTCAGGTAATTCACGTTAACTGACCTATCCTGACCAAAATCAGACACTTTTTTAATTTGCTCTGAACATTTTTCGATCAAACTAAAATAACCATAGCTGTTTCCCTCACATGTTACAAAAAACCCAACAACAACAGTGGTTATCATTCACAAATAGAAGATGCATTCAGTTCAGTTTGCAACTTATGTGTAATCACGTATATTTCAGAAATAAGGGTATTTATGTCTTATTAAAAATATCCCAGGCTCTATATTGAGGTCATTCGAAAATATATTTTACATACAAATACAATGCTTTGTCAACTTTGGACGATTGTTTGACTCTCGGAAAACCAATTCAAAACTTCAAGATGTCGGCCATTCCACATGACAACAGTGCTTCATTTACTTCGCAAATCAAAACGTACACCAGTTTAGTGTATTTGACATTAGGAACAAGAACTCGGGTAGCCAGATCAGTAAAAATCTACTGGATTGTAAAATTATGTTTTTCACATATACTTACCATCAAAGTTTAGACTCACTTAAAACACTCACTGTATGGTTGATTGATTTCTCCACTAACTTGGGGGAACCAACTG